ATTATAATGAAAAACGAGGCTACAATAAGGAAATGTGACACTGAAAACCAGGCTGCAATAAGGAAAACTTTACCAAAAGTATTTCATCATGTACATGTAATGTAAAAACAAGGCAAATGTATCATTATAAAAATGAAATGATACTTCATTATGAAAACGCCACAAACGAAACCATGTTGAAGTAAAAATGAAGCTACAATATCAAACCATTACAAAAGTATCCATGTAACGGAGAAAAAACGAGGCTTAAACAAAGCACAGTATAATATGAGAAATTGGACACAGTACTTCGGGTATCAAAAATATTGTTGTATCCCCTGTCGTATAACGGAGAGAGAACACACTGATGTTTTCACATTTTATTACTCAATACATAAGTATATATCTGCTCTGGACAAATACCAAATTCGAATTACCTAGACTGGGCTATTCGACCACTATTTATAATGACAGCTATTAACATAAAATGTTAAGATATAGTTTCCCCCTTAGCATTAACAAGCGGTTTGCTCAGTTATGTCAAATAATATAGCAAATATACATGTATATCAAATGTTTTTTGTTGATGCATTTTGTGAGAAAGACATCCTCAAAGAGAAAGTTTGATCTCACACCTGTCCGTGGTTGAGAACCAAACCATCCCTTTAATCAAAAACAGTTTCTATGGCCATACAAGGTTTTTGCCATAGACCGGAAATACAACTTTTGTTTGGTTACTAGGATAAGTTTTCATGTGTAAATGGTATAAACTTTAAATGTTTTAACACTTACTTTTTGTGTCAGTTCCATCTGTTACTTTCCTACCAAGTGCGACATTTAGCGTCAAGGGGTTGCGACATTTAGCGACAATCAATTTTTTTGCGACATATAGCGGCAACGTTGCGACATTTAGCGGTAGGCGATTGCGACATATAGCGTTGATTGCGACATATAGCGTCAGCGTTGCGACATTTAGCGTTAGTTGCGACATATAGCGGCGTTGCGACATATAGCGTTGCTACAGTCGTTACATTACTTTCCCCTCCGAGAAGTCTCGTCCCGAGACTTGGCCTGGGAAATCTGTGGGTAGGGCAACTCCGGTCTGGCAGTTGTCTACATTCCCCCACACTGGCCACCAAATGTAACGTTTTTTAAGGCACACAAACCCTGTCGGTGAAAAGCTAGCTCACCACCGAGAGTGGTTTGTGTCCTTATATACGGGAACTATTCCCTTCTGTTAATTCAACAACTTAAGTATTTGCATATTATCATGCTCATTATGACGTTCTACCAACGTCGTTACACTACTTTTGAAAATGCGAACATGTATGTCTAGCATTTTTTTATTTGCATTCGTGCACAGCAAATGATATGCCTCTTAATCCAATCTTTTAATTGAAGGCACCCGCTTTTAAATAACAAGTTTACATGTAAATCTTAACAACTGACCTAACATGGAGAGCAACAACACATTTACAAGTTCGTATCTACCATTGCATATAATACATAAGCATGTTTACACACTTGTAGATATATATCTGTACCTGAAAAACACAAATGAAATGTAAAACTCGAATGCAGAAAATATAATTTAATAAAACGTGTTCCAGTCGTAGAACAACAACAGTACTTTACACAGTTCATGTTTAAAATGAGTAGATTCACAAAGTTAAACGATTCTAAGTCATGCATGACGCCCCGCCTCTCTCTGAGTATTTACGATCTTCTATCACGGAAATGTACGGACAGGTATAATACCTGTCGCCTCTCTCCTATTTCTCAATAAAGTGAAGGAAAACACGGCGTCCATTCTAACTTTTTTTATTTCTATAAAAAGTCCAATATTATTGGTATTCAAATGAAAGATTACTCCATAAGCTTTAAATGAGTGCCTCGGAAATAAAAATGAATTAAATAGATGTATTGAATTTTTAGGTTTTTTTACTATGAAAATAACACTCTCGAATTGGTAAGAAAAACACGGCGTTCCCATCAAAAACTTTTTTTTAAGTTTCTAATATATTTTGATAATTTTGGATTGAAATAAAAGTGTGCTTCATACGATTTATGATATATAATTATATAATGCCTAAAAATAAAAATGAAAATTAAATCAAAACTGAATTAACTTTTTCGTTAAAAAGTTTATCATGTTTACTTTCTCTGTAAAATAGAGAAAAATAAGAATCCCTAAAGAACGCTCAAAACGACAAATTGAGAATGTTCAGGCAGGCCCGGTTTGATTGAGCCTGCTCATGGACGGTAATGGAAAGAGCAAGTTTATCGTCCACGCCCCCTAGCACCGGCTTTAACAAAATTCAACATGAACTGGTACAATTTTGAAACATCCGCAGATGTGTTAATATGGCGATTTATCATGGAACCTTCAATGTGACACGTAAGTGCCATACCATGAAAAACGGCATATGATCCCCAAGTAAAAAAAAAACACACTCTGAAATTCAGTAAGAAAAACATGCGCCCCCTACTTACTTTTTTTTATTTCTTAGTCAATTTTGATAATAAACAAGATCATCAAGGAAAGGCGGCGTTGAAAATTTTAGACTCAAGTAAAAGAATCCTTTATGAACTTTCTAGTGATGCCTTAAAAATGAAAATTAATTATGTAGAAGTATTAAAAAAAATTGTTTCTAATTTATCGTTGTTTATTTTTTTTCTCTTAAATCCACACTCATATATTCGGGAAAAAATAACGTCGCTTCCTTTAGATACTTTATTCAAAAAGGAAATTGAATATTGAATGAAATTTAAGACCATAAGCTTTGAACAAGTATATTAAATCTGGAAACAAGTGATCCCTCGGAAGCATTAATCACAACAAAATTACATAAGAATTGCAGATTCGGCTTCAATTGAGTCTGCACATGAGGGATAATGAAACAAGTGCAACATCCCTCACGCCCCTAGCACCGCTTGAACGGTACTCAATTCTCAACACTTAATAGCGCTGGCAATCAATGATCCCGAAGGACCAGAAAAACACTGAAGTGAAGTAAACGGGGCAACTTTTTACCAGCTGCCACACGGCACTTGACACCTGCTGTTGTGAAGTATTAAAATCTTTGGAAGCAAAAGTGATCCCGTCGAAGCATTAATCACTACAAAATTACATAAGAATTGGCAGCCTCGGTTTGATTGAGTCTGTACATGAGGGATAATGAAACAAGTGCCAAAAAGTTTTTTTTTTTTTTTTATTCATACTGAAAATACCTTATTAAAGATTGTACATATATATGTGCTACGGATAAGTATTTTCTTGATTTCGGCAAAAGGAAATCTCGGTGGCCGCTTTAAAAATCCTATTTTTGCAAATACTTGCATAGTTTTTGTTGAAAATGAATTTGTTGCCAGTACATTTTTTCAAATGATACAACCAATAAGAATATTGGATGGTTTTTACATTATCAATAAAAATTACTCCCTTGAAGTTGGTCATATTTTTCCCCTAAAAATTTCCAAAATGCGCCGATGTTTCTCAGGAATATATGATAAACAAGATCAACAAGGAAAGGCGGCGCTCAATGAACGCAAAACCCTACATGACCCAGCAACAAGAACAAGTGGCAAGAAGCCCAGGGGGACCCCAAACAACACAGGACAGGGCACTAGGCATAGCACAGACAGGCTAATCACTAAAATGATAAATAATTAGTAAAGCTCTGAGAGAAATGTTCATCATGTTAGTAAAGCTCTTTGAGAAATGTTCACCGTGCGAGTAGAGCTGTGTAAGTAAGGTGCACTGTGCAGGAAGAGCTATGTTGGTTATGTTCATCGTGCGAGTAAAGCTCTGAGAGAAATGTTCATCATGTGAGTAAAGCTCTTTGAGAAATGTTCACCGTGCGAGTAGAGCTGTGTAAGTAATGTTCACCATCCAGGTAGAGCTCTGTGGGTTATGTCCATCGTGCGAGTAGAGCTCTGTGAGAAATGTTCACCGTGCAAGTAGAGCTGTGTAAGTAAGGTTCACTGTGCAGGTAGAGCTCTGTGGGTTATTACATCGTGCGAGTAGAGCTCAGTGAGAAATGTTCACCGTGCCAGTAGAGCTGTGTAAGTAAGGTGCACTGTGCAGGTAGAGCTCTGTGGGTTATGTCCATCGGCGATTAGAGGCTCTGTGAGAAATGACTGTGCGAGTTAAGAGCTGTGTAAGTAAGGTTTACCGTGCAGGAAGAGCTATGTGGGTTATGTTCCATCGTGCGAGTAGAGGCTCTGTGGGTTGTTATGTTCATCGTGTGAGTAAGATTTCTTTGAGAAATGTTCACCGTGCGAGAAGAGCTATGTAAGTTATGTTAAACTGTTTAAATAGATCGTTGTAAGTAATGTTCATTGTTTGAGTAGAGCGTTAAATTGTGAGTAATGTTCACCATTTGAGAAGATCGTTGTGAGTTATGTTCACTGTTTGAATAGATAGTTGTGAGTAATGCTCATTGTTTACGTAGAGCGTTGTGAGTAATGTTCACTGTTTCAGTAGAGCGTTGTAAGAAATGTTCATTTCGTGAAAGTGCGTTGTAAGTAATGGTCACTGTTTGAGTACGTTGAGCGTTGTGAGTAATGGTCATTGTTTGAGTAGAGCCTTGTAATGTTCACTGTTTGAGTAGAGCGTTGTAATGTTCACTGTTTGAGTAGAGCTCATTGACAACTTTTCGTAAGTAAGATATCGTAAGTTTTTAAACTACTTAACTTACATAAACACTAATCGAATATTCTCGCCTGCTTCTCTTCGTCCAACGAACACATGTTATTTTTATTCATCTACGATCGGGTGACCCCTGTTTATGAAATATATGATCATAAAACTGTCTTAGTTATGAAATAGTACATGCCAAAAACAATGTTATACATATATAAACAGTGTCATTATGACATGCGTGTTCTTAAAATAAGTTTCATAAGGAAGAGAAAGTATTGCATGTAAACGGAACTTTGAACTATTTTTTGTTTGATATCTTTCATGTCATTGTTATCTTGGGGTCAAGACTTAGTAACCTTGTTCTTTTATAAACCTCTTATCAATTAACCACATAATTATTAATCATTTTTGAAGGTGTCACTTACACAGTTATGAAGCTAGTTTTGCTGAGTTTTGTTGCTGCTGCTGCATTGTGTTGCGTATGCGCTCTGACGCCATGCTGTGTTAGCCGGAAGTTCTCAGCATTAATGATGCGCTTGCAGGCGACATTGCCGACTGGAGCAACAGATCCTTTCATTGAAGATGTAAGTACATGTTTCTTTGTCAGATAATGATTTTTTGTATGCAATTGAATATAAAGAACTTATTTTTATACACATGTTGTCTTAATGGTTTTCTCATCCTCCCTACCAAAGCGCTTTGAATATTGTTTCCAGAATTCATAGACGAATAGCACAGGTCGAGTACAGATGCATTGCATCTATTTAAACTCCTACCCACCGTGCACAGACACACTCAAAAACCTTGACAGTATAACACAGCAAACAAAAGGCAGTATTTTTTGCTCGTCTAGACTCGATATTTTTAACATAATGATTTTACCAAATATCATTTCTTCACTATTTAAAATCACACCGATTACTTCTTGGGTATGGTTAAGGGTTAGTGTTATGGGTTAAAATTAGGTTCAGAGGGTTATGGGTTATGGATAGGATTTTAAAACATGGATTTTGCTACGAAGTGCTCCTTTTGCTTTATGTTTAACAATGAAAAATTCTAGAATATTTAGGAGTATGAAAATAACACGAATAAGAAAATGTTGAACAAAATAAAGTGCGTGCTTAATGTAGGCGTCACACTGTCCCGAATTTGGCATCAGATGGACACACGAATAAGGAAATGTTCAAATTCGGGTAATGTACCTACCGCTAATGGTGGGTCAATAGCGATTACCGTTTAACTCACAACGAGTAAAAAATGTCCATCGGTAAAAATGTTGTGAGCAACTTCCGTTCCTCGTTGTGAGCACCCATCTTTGACGTGTGACACGATAAACAAGGTGAGTTTTTTTTTTATAATTTTTGAAGATTACAGACATTTATGTAAAAATATCGGAATGCAGTTAGCTAGCGATGTGTTTTTCTGAGTATGGGACAAAGTAAAAATTTTGGCCCGTTGGGGCGACTTTTGATGGAAATTTCCGTGCGACGCCCGTCACTCGGGGGTAAACAAAGGAAAAATTTTGGGGACAATTCTCTTTAGGGCCCAATTTAAAAAATTGAAAAACGTCGAAATTTTGGTTTTTCGTTTTGGGGGCAACTAACCTTTTAAAAAAGAAAGCCCCCCAAGTCTTTAGGCCCTAAAATTAATTTTCTGAAAAATCTTCATAGAAACGGAAAATAACCCCTTTTTTTCTTTAAAACCCGTTGTGGCAAAAATAACCCCTTTTGAGAAAACAAACGCAAATTTTTTGTATTTGGTTTTAAAATGTAATTCAGATTTTGGGGGAAATATAAATTTTTCCTTCCCAGCAATTAAAAATTTTTTTTCACGCAGATTTCTTTGCAAGTCGTTGTGGGATAACCCCCCAAAAGGGCAAAATTAGTTTTAAAATGTCCCTCTGTCAGTCCCTAATCTGTCCGGGAAAAATTTAAAAATTGGCCCTAACTTTCCTTATTAGGTTTTAAAAGGGATTTGATTCATATTTGAAACAAATCCCTTTTGACAAAACCTTTTCCCACGGCCCGGGGATTTTTTTTTCCTTTACCCCTGTTTGGGCCCCCTTTCCTTGAAGGTCAAATTTTTTTCCAAAAAAAATTTAAATTTTTCCCTAATGTTTGGGGATTTTTTTGGTTTTTTAAACCAAACAAACTTTGGGCAAAATTTTTTTTCAACTATTTATATTCTTTTACCCCTTAACCCCCTTTTTTAAATGAAAAAATTAACCCTTTAAGGTCAAATTTGGTTTTTCCAAAAAAATTTAAAAAAAATTTGGGCATAACTTCCTTTTTTGTATTTCGGAAAATTTTCTATATTTTTAAAAACCCCCTTTGGGGCCAAAACCTTCAAAAAATGGTTTTGTATCTTTTTACCTTTTTACCCTGAATGAAATTTTCTTTGAAATCCAAAACTCTTTTTTTCATTTGGTCCCCCTAAAAATTCTTTATAAGTAAAAATGGAAAATTAAAATTAATATTTGGAAAACAAAAGCCCTTTAGACAAGACCTTCAAATTTATATTTTTTTATTTCAATTGACCCTTTAAAATTTCCTTTCATTTGGGGATCTAATAAATCCAAAAAAAAAATTTTAATTTTATCTGGTCCAAAATCGGAAAAAGCACCATTCAAAGGGGAAATTGTCAACTTAAACCCCTGATTTGTTCTTGTTTTTTCAAAAAATTGGTCCCGTCTTCAGCTCGAATAAAAAACATGTATTTGTGAAAAAAACAAAATTTTTGAAATTTTTTTTGAAATATTCATTTTTAAAAAACCCCCCCCATTTTTTTCCTCGTGCCACACTAAAAGATTAAAGAAATAAAAAAAACCTGATTTAAAAAACCCCTGAAATTTGTTTTCTGTTTAAACTGAAGACTTGTAAAATGAAGAATAATTTTCAAAAAAAAGAAAAAGGAAAAAACTAATTTCAAAAAAAAACTATTGTAAAAAAAACGTTTTTATTTTCTTTTGGTAGATTGAAAATTGTATTCCTTTCTATTTGAATTACATAATTATTAAAACCCGACACTTTCGCTTGTCTTGCTCACAAAGAAAAGGGTTTTGGTGGCTCCCCCAAAAAGAGGATCCCAAAACAAAAAAGGTATAAACTTCGTTTTTTTTGAAAACTTTTCAGATAAAAAATTTTAAACCTGAAGGGTTGTGGGGATTGTTTTTAATTTGAATGCACAAACGTCACCAGAATCGACGTTTTTCAATGTTAAAAAGGTCCAAGGAAAATTGTTCCAGTTGTCCAGTACCCCGGGGGTGACTGCGTGCACGGAAATTTCCATCAAAAGGGGTTCCCCCAACAAAAGGGTAATCTTTACCCTGTTTTAACTCGGAAAAACAAATCCGCTAATAAAAAACATTCCCAAAAATTTTTTACCCTTTAAAAAAGTCTTAATCTTTTAAAATTACAAAAAACCTTTGGGTTTTTCGTGTACCCCGTCATAAATGGGGTTTCTCACAACGGGGGGAACGGGGGAAATTGTCACAAAAAATTTTTTAAACCCCGGGGGAATTTTTTCAAATCCCTTGTGAGTAAACGGGGTGGAGAAGGAACCGAAAGAGGCCCAAGAAAAACAATTTTTTAAATGGGTAAAGGTAAAATTTTCTCATGGTGGCATAATTTTACGGGGTGACCACTTCCTCATTCCCGTCCCCTTCTTGAAATTTTCTACAAATATCAAAAGCTTCCAAAAATTTAAAAAAATTTAAATTTACAATTAAATTTTTATTTATTTCTTTGTAGAATTACTGCTTTGATGAAAGAAATAACAAAAGAAAAAAAACCAAAAAATTGCTTTTTTAAAAAACACAAATTTGAAAAAATAAAAGAGGCCCAAGGCCACTTTGGGTGGTTTTGGTTTTATTAAATATAATAAACAAGATCAACAAGGAAAGGCAGCGGGTTTAAATTTAAAAAGCAACCCCCCCACAACCCAAACAAAAAAAGAACAAGTTTCACAAAAAGGGCCCCCGAAAAATTTTACGGGCCAAGGGGGAAAAGGGGCGGATGGCTTATCATTAAATGATAATAAAACGAAATAAAAGTTTTTTCGACAAGGGAAACAAAAAAAACAATAAAAGAATTTAAATTTAAATTTAAAAAAATAAAACTATGACAAAAAGAAAATCCCTTTCCGTAGACGAGAAAAAAACCAAAAAGGGGGGGCCGGAACAAAAATGTCGCAAAACAAATAGAGTCCAAAAACCTTTTTTTTGGGTTAAAAACCCTTTAATAATTTTAGTTAAAAAGGGGAAAAATAACCCCAAAAATCTTGCGAAGTTTTGGGGAAAAAACATTCCATTAAAAATCATTTTTTAATCATACTGGAAATTTTTAAATTAAATCCAAAATTACGATTTTTAAATTTTTTTTTAAAATCTACCATTTTAAATTTTTAAAAGCGGTTTGTTTTTGTTTGGGTTGAATAGCTTTTCTAAATTTAAAGAAAATTTTTTGCTTGTTAAAAAACCTTTCACTTTGCTAAAAGCTCTAAGGGGAATCTAATTTAAAATTTAGATCATAATTTCAAAACCCTAAAAATTTTGGCATTGCCGGTACGTTCCTTTCTTTAAAGTTATTTTAAAAAAAACTTTTTCCAAAATTAAAGTCATCATTTTTTTCATAGATTTTGTGTGAAAAAAGAAAAATTTTTTTTTGTTTTTTAATTAAGAGCCAAAAATTAAATTTTTAAAGTAGTTTAAAGGTGACCATGGGGTTTAAAGCATTTCCCCACTTTTTAAAGTATTCAAATTTTGGGCTTAAAAATTTTGCTTTTTTAAATACATTGAAAAAATTTAGGGCGTTGGGTTTTTAATTTCCCCAAAAAGGGGCAATTTTTTTTTTTCTTTTTTTTCTTTTTAAACAAATTTTTTATGTTTTCTCTTGTCCCTTATGGAAGAAAAAATTTGTTTTAAATTAAAATAAAATTTTTTTAGGGATTTTTTTTTGCTTAAAAAAAATTTCCAAAAATTTTTAGCAAAAATGATAAACCAAAATATTTTCAAAGTTGATAAAATAAAAACTCCCCGGTAAAAAAAATTATAATTTTGCATGATCAAAAATAATATATTTGAGAAAATTTTAAAGGGAAAAATTTGGAAAAAGACCCAAAAAATTTTTTGAAAAAATTAAAATTTTTTTTTGGGGGTTTTTTTTTGAAAAAAAGGCAAATTTTGTAGGGGAAATTTTTTTTAAAAATTAAAATTTAAAAAATGGGTGGGGGTAGGGAAAAATTTTTATAAGTAAATTAAAAAAAACATTTTGTTTAGGAAAAAAAATTTTGGGGTTGTTTTTGTGTTTTCCCTGAAATGTTGTTAAATTTTTTTTCTTAAAAAATAGGCAACCCGAAAAACATTTTTTATAATGAAAAGATATTCAGATTTTTTTCAGTTTTTTCATTTCTGAAAATTTAACCCTTTCTAATGGGGGAAAGTCTTAGTTCAGAAAATTAAAATTTCCCAAAAACTCATAAAACCAAAACCGGGAAAAATTTAAATTTTAAAATTTTGCATAAAAGGGTGGGGCCTTTAAAAAAAATATAACTGCCCAAATTTTTCAATTTTTTTCAGTTCCTTATGGTGCCCATTACCCATGGTCTACCTTAATAAGCTCCAAATACTATCTGCGAAATTTGCCGCGGTTGGCCGTGTGGAGGTGAAGGTCACTTGACGCCTTCGTAACTACGTACGAAGGCATCGTACTCAAAATACGACGTCGGGTACCTATCCTATGACCTTCGCATGTCCTGCTGGTAAACTACTTTGTACAAAATTGCATCTTTGAGGTGACTTCGTGTGTGTATCGGATGCGATCGCGTGACCTTTGGTAGGAATCGTGAGTGGCTCGGATGCGATCGCGTGACATTCTGTAGGAATCGTACTTGTTTCGGCTGTTGAGACACTGTCGACCAATTTCGGGGCTATCTTCGCACGAAATTAAAAAATTCATATTCGTATGCCCATCTGGTGTCAATTTCGGGACAGTGTGACGCCTGCATAAAAAATCTGACTTTTTATGTTGCAATAAACGCATTATTAACTTGCATTTTTTTTACTATTCAGATATATTCGACTATAGAATATGACGCAGATGCCAAAATGGAGAGGATCACTGGACACATACTCGACACCAGTACTGGTCAACGATCTGAATACACCGAGTACAAGGACTTTAAACATGTAAACATATCAATTGTATTATTTGTAATGATATTTTACGCTGATCTATGTCAATAAAACAAAGACAATATAATTACCAAACTTAAAGGAAAACTTCTGCAAAGAAGTAGCCATGAAACTGAAAAGTCTTGATATATAGATAGATGCCTGTAAAATTGTCAGCTTAGTACCCCAGTAAACTGGTTGTATATTAAAATTTGGACTTTCTGGATGCTGTGACATTCGGAATACCTCGGGCGACCTCGCTCTGAATTCAACTCAATACGAAGCCGAGTAGTTACGATTGAAGGAGTACGTATATATATAGTACTTACCGTACTTAAAACTGAAGTGCGAATCATCTGAATTTTCTATTTTACATTCATATAGTTTTATTTGTTTATCACATTCCATTCATGACTGTAGTTTTGGGTTTTTGGTGTACATTTTATTTCAGTCAAAGCGATATACTGTGACGTCATCTGGCTGTATAGTGGAGCCACTCAATGAACTGATGATTGTTCCATGTGTGGCAGGTAACTAGCAATATTCTCTTCTATACATGAATATAATTGTTGTTGTTTTGTTTTTTAATTCATAATTTTTAAAGAGTCACTTGCAAGTTGGAAAGTTAAAGATATTTTTCATGTAATTATGATTAAAAAATGAAATATTAGCGTTTTTAATTGATAAAGATGTTCTCTAGCCTTGGCCTCAGTATTTGTAAATCAGTGCCTTGCACAATTATATCAGATTTTATTAGTAGTCGCCATAAATGTGAAGGTCTCCATAATTGTGAAGTCTTAGGAATACCAGTACTTTTGAAGTACAACATACAGATGTTTTCGATGTTTTTAGCGAATTTTAGCATGCTCCAACAGTACACCATTGGATCTGGGGCGCACACGGTGCCCGTGACGTCATGGGAAGGACCATATCTAGGTAGTTTATGGATGAATATACATTTTGTCGACGGTTCCTGTGAGCCTGTGTCGCTACAAATATACGGCCCTACCCCAGACAACGGTGACTATTTCAATCATTCTATTTAAATAGAACTTTGGAATATAAATATTTATTTACAGCAACCATTATTAATTCTAGTAGGTATAAGTCAGTTTAACTATCCACCATCTTTATTAATTATGTATTTTTGTGTGTTTAAAAGTACCACAATCACTAAAATGGACTTTAAAAACGATTAAAATGAAAGCTAGACCAAATTTAGTTCAATATGAACGTTTAAAGACTCGAGAAATGAAAACGAGGCAAACTTTCAATAGTGAGTTCTGTTGGAACATCACGTGGAGCAAATGCTGGAAATCCATTGGTTTCATTTTGTAAGGTTGGAAATAAAGAATGTTTTCAGTTGCATGAACGGCATTATATTTGAAATAGATGAGTCATTGTAGCTGCTAGGAAATTGATCCTTTGTCATGTTTTATCTGTCTTACATAATATTTACAATAATAACAATCTTAACAACTTTTATCAGATTTATTGAAGTAGTTTATTTGTATGAATATTTCAGCGGCCAAACTGCTCTACGCATACCAGTTTGCCAACATGAAACAGGGACACCTTAGCAGTAATGACGTATTTACCACACCAGACAGTTGTAAACATGTATGTATATATATATATACAGATAACTACCGATAGTATGGCACTTGTTATGAACATGTTCGGCATCCTTAACGTGCTGAATTTGCTCTGTTTTGAATTTGGAACATTCCATTTGATAATTAAGGGATTTCAGTATCTATTTTTCAAATAACTGAGCTACCAACAGTAAAGAACCTTGTTCATTGCACCACTGTGCACGGAGTGAAGGCTGGCCTAGCTCTATACTGGTGACAAAGGCTAATTACATTCGGTATCAGCTAATATATATGATATTTTGAGATAGTATGAAACGTAGAAACAAATTTATGTCTCGAACAACAGAAAAAAAAACTCCATGATAATATAAATATTTTTATATTACAAAGCTAAAAGTAAAGTCCTTGAAAATAATTACAATGTACAGTATACTGTAACCTTTCTAATTAAAACGACAATTTCCGATCGCATGTCAGCGTTCTTTTAAAAGTCTGTCTAAAAAAGGTTGTTCGTAAGCATAAGTAAGCAGGACGTACACACAGCTTACAGTTAATAGTTCAGTGCTAGAAGATATTCAATTGACGAAAAAACAAAGAATTATAGAAATTTGTATTATGTTTCATTTTATAATTTTCAGGCTAGTCAAACAGTCGGTTAGAACATAGACAGGAAACAGTTCTTTATTAATAGTTTCATAACACATGTGTTGAAATAGTGCTTTTACCTATCAAAACAATGAACTAATGATTAAAGCCATTAAATTGTTACGTCTTTGTTTAAAGTGTTTAAGGGTACATTTGATTTGCCAAAAAGTCTAAATAGTATACTAACGGAAAAAGCCATCCGACGACTTGACGATACAAAATTTGATTTTTGCTGATATCCTTGACATCTTGGCTCATGCATAATTTATTGCATAATTGTTGGGAAGTCTTTCTTGCAATGGACCCGCAAAAGCCAAACTAGCAATATATCGCATTATCAAACAAACACTGTTAGCGACAAAGTGAATCAGCTATCATTAAATAAACAAGTGATGGCTGTAACATTCAAAATTACACAAAATTTTGACATCTTCCCAAAAAGCATGACCTTGATCTTTATGAAAACCAATCTGGTTGTTGCATGCGACACATCATCTTTTAACAAAAGGAAATATTTGTGCTAAGTTATCAGATTAATCAAATTCAAATTAAGCAAAAATTTTGTTTTGCTAGCATGTCCTTGCCTAATGCAATTTTTCCTCAAGAACAGTTATATACCAATCAAGTTCCTTGTTGTTGTTTTTTCAGCATGAAATGTAATGAATATTTTATGATTTTTTACAAGTTAACTAGTGTGGGAGAAAAAAGATTCCTCCCAATGAAAAAGTTGCATATCTAAAGTTGCTAAAAATCATGGATTCGGCAGATTTGATTGCAAATTTTTAAAGGGAGAAAGTAGGACTGGTATGAATTTTAGGAATAATTCTGAAAACTCGCCTATTAGCACAAACCGTTACTGTTATGCAAGTACAAGCGCAAGAATCACTTGTTTCCATGAGTAAGAACTTCTACACTGATTGCTTAGTTTTGGTTTGTTCCAGGAAGGATTAGAAGTTTTTCATTAAACTTATAGCCTAACACAATCGAACAAAAACAAGTAATCTAATAAACGAAAGCACAATTAGGCAATATACCAGCACTAGCCTTCCTTCCATATGATGGCAGGAAACATCTGGAGATCTTGAAACACAAAGATAAGGTACATGAAATTCTAGGTCAGCGGCATGGACATTGACAGGTTGACCATTGTACACTCAGTAGAAAGTGAGCGATGGTGAAACATTCGACCAATGCGCAAGAGAGTATGATTAATTGAGCTTTAAAACATATTTGCTCAGCATAACTCACAAAGACAGTTTTATCAGCAATGGTGATATTCTGTTTTATCAGCAATGGTGATATTCTGTTGAATATTACAAGAAAAAAAACATATGATAAAAATCACTTTTTTATTTTTTTTTCCTAATATAAAGGGAGACCAACTCACCAATTAAAACATTTTTCACAATGGTAAAAAAAAGATCACAAAAGTGGGAAAAAGGAACATCCATGTGTTGATACTGCAACACTTTGAATTCACTGTACTCTAAATATTTATTTACTAATTGCATAAAGAGTACATGCTGTTGAATATTTTCCTTCAGGAAAACAAAACTGACCCTTTTTTTTTCAAATATTTTCCCTTATTTTTAAAAAAAAATGACTAAAATTGCACATTTTTGTTTTTAAAAAAGGTGACTGGGTCAACTTTTGGGGAGGATCGGGGGGGATAATAATTTAAAATGATTACATATGTAAGCACCCAAAAACCCTCCAGAGCGGGGCCCTTTTTATTTTTAAAAGGGATTTTGCCCCTGATTAAAAACTTTTATGACCCCGTCATGAAAAAACCCAAAACATAAGGGTTTTTGCAACCAGAAAGGGGTCCCAGCCCAGCCTGCGCTTCCCCAGTTTGATCGGGAAATACAGTTTTTCGCTTACCAACCCTATAACAAGTAGAAAAAAACTGTAGCGAACAGCAGGGATCCGGGATCGGGACGAGCGGAAAACGCAGGCGGGTTTGGGAAATATGCGGGTTGGGAAAACCCCCAATTATTTTGGGTTTTTGTCATACACGGTTTCATTTGCCCTTTTGTAAAAATCAAGTATTTTATGCTCTCAATCACTTATATTTATGTCCAAATATGCAAAAAAGCCAAACTTTAAATTGTCATTTAATAATTTGTAATGAAAGTAGCAAAACAAAAACAAAGTGATATTTTGACTTCCATAATGTGCCTTGAGTATTTTTACAATTAGTCTATTACATATACTAAAGCTGTTGCTTTTTGTTTATTTTTTGTCATGTTTGTTTTTTGAGAATTTTTCAGCTTATCTGGAGGTGAGTCATTTTAAAATCAGGGAACACAAAGTTTGTTATAAATAATGTCCTACACAGATTGACCCATCTCAAGAGCTCATCTTTTCCTCAGCTACTACAATGTAATTATTATAATAATTAGAACTCCTACCAATTTGGAAGCCTTATCTCATATAATAAATATTTAACTAAATAAAATAACAGAGTTGCAAATATAACAGTAAACATTTGTGCTTAAGAAATATAATACAAATTTCTTTTTATTTTTTCTACTACTCACAAAAAAGTTTTAATAAAATACATGAACAAGAAAAGTTTAACATAACTATTAAACTATACAGTATAGTCTGAAGTTATCTCATTTTTTTTTATAAATCCATATTTTCTGTTCTATTTCTTCTCTTCCAAGAACAGGTAATCAAACCAGCTCAAACATACCATGTGACGGTCACATGACAATCATATGATTGCCATATGTTTTTATGCAATCACAATTATCAAATATTACACAACAGTCAATAAAATGCATTCATAAAGGAACATTAAAAAACTTTGGTGCAGAGTAATTATATCTCAATTAACAGTATAAATTCACTTAATAATACTTAAAATTTCATTTACAGGTAGCATTTTTCAGTGTGTATTCAAATACTTTAAAATAAACAATCTATCTAATAGAGATACACACATTTATAAATCATACTTTTAAGAACACATATAAATATACAGAACATCTATGACTCTCTTAAAGGCCCATTATGCCTCAGAAACGCTATAAATTCAATTTCTTTAATACTTTATTTTTGGTATATCTTATTACAGTTTCTGAAAAATACTAGTTTGCCATACACATGAATGTTTTTGCTGCTTTTGTTCTCTTGATAATTGGTATAATTATAGTGATTTAGTAATTGTATGGTGGTCAAAATACTACTTAGTTTATATTTTGGCTACCTATGTGACACAATCCTGCACATTCAGCCCTACTTTCTCCAGTTGTTTAACATCTTAAATGTTCTAAATCCACCATTAAAGCATTATTGAACAAAAAGAATTGACATTTCTAAAGAATCTATAAAAATAATTCTGAGGCATAATGTTCCTTTAACATTTAGCATGCCAAAGGTGATAATGATTTGCCAACTGTATCAGTATAGAGCCACCACAACCTTTACATCAATGCAGTTTAACCAGACTCTATATTGATTGCTGCTTTACCCTTAATCTACTAAATTTGCATAATGGACTTGTCCAGGTTTGAATTTGAACAGACCATTTCAAATTTTAAGGGATTGTGGTATGAAAATTGAGCTACCAATAGTATAGACCCTGGTAAAACTGTGTAAATGTGCAGGATGGCCTGGCTCTATGCTGTTGGTAAAAGCTTAACACTTTAACTTCAAGCAGGGTATGGGTTAAAGCTGATTTAGTCAATCAATGGCGTCAGATCAAAATATTTTAGTTTACAAATAAATAAACATAGTTTTGCACCAAATATATGAGAAGATCAAACACTAGTACACATGTGTCATTTTAGAAAGGGGACTTGAACATAAGAAGTATTTTTTTTTTTTTTTTTTTTTTGTTTTTTTTTTTTTTTTTTTAAAAAATTTTTTTTAAAAAAAAAAAAAAATTTTTTTTTTTTTTTTTTTTTTTTTTTTTAAAACAGTATTCTGTATAATACTAAGATATTTTTTAAGACCAGTAAGTCAGCTAGATTTACAAACAATTGTAAGTCTTAATATGATGGTGTTTTTTTTGCTAAGATCGTAAATCCAATGTTTTTTATCGGCTAATACTCATCCCAATATATTCTATATTGTACAAATATAACCTTTTCTATACTTATATTATTATATCTTAATTTTTTTAACATCATGATCAATATTTAATTATCTATTCATAATAGGTATTATATTATTGAACAATACAGAATCTATATATAGAGCATGAATGAGAAAGATTATCTGGTTGATTCAGAAACTTTTCACACATTCAGTCTTTATCAAAACGTTTGCATGGGACAGTTAAAAATTTTCAAATACAGAAAAATTATAAATTTTTGTATGCCCACGCAAACAATACTAAAATGCTAAATTATATTTGTGTGATAAAGTGGTGTTAAGAATTATGGCTACTGGTAAGATAAAGTATATAATAATTCCAGGTATTAAATAATGTTCTAACAAATCCCCTGTAAAATATACATGTACTATTATCCAACTGCCATAGAGTATAAAAAAATACACGTCTTGCAATATGTTTTGTGAACTATACTTAAGCAAGTGAAAAATAAATTGTGCATATTCTTTAAAAACAAATAAATAAATATAACATAAATCTAATTCATAAAAGCCCTCTGTTACAGTCTATATATACAAGTATGACATACAAGTATGTCATGAAAAGTCATCCTGACCTTTCAAGTCAAGGTCAAACAACATGGGATAAAGTTATGTCATAACAAATTTAAGCAGTTATCTACCTGTACATGAGTATAACATTTCTAATGGCATGTGCATTTTTTGTTATAAAGGTTGCAACTTCGTCATAATTATAACCGATAGAACCTTTGACCTTTGTCATATAAAAGACTTAGTCAAGGTCATCTTAATAACAAGGTCAAATATGAGTATAAATAAATCAAAACTTTCTCAGAAGAAAACTTACATAAATTATATGATTTCATTTACAAGCCATGTGAAAAATACCATTTAAAACTTAATTTAAGCAAATCAAATCTATATTTATTTTACTGTCAGTATTCTTATACAAAGGGCGGTGACTCAAGTTGGCATTTTCATGAAAAGGGAAATAACTCTTTTGTTGAAAAAATAACTTCACTAACAAATCATCTCCTCCT